GTTTTATATTGAAGCCTTGTCTTTTCTTGGGAAGCTATTTCTTTCCTCTTATTTTTCTCTTCTTTTTTTTCTCACCCTATTAGGTATTTATCATTTTTCTGTGTGTGTGTGTGTTTTTTTTTTTTTTGAGAGGGAGTCTCGCTCTGTCGCCCAGGTTGGAGTGCAGTGGTGCGATCTCGGCTCACTGCAAGCTCTGCCTCCTGGGTTCACTCCATTCTCCTGCTTCAGCCTCCCAGTAGCTGGGACTACAGGCGCCCGCCACCACGCCCAACCGATTTTCTTGTATTTTTAGTAGAGACAGGGTTTTGCTGTGTTGGCCAGGATGGTCTCGATTTCCTGACCTCGTGATCTGCCCCCCTCGGCCTCCCAAAGTGCTGGGATTACAGGTGTGAGCCACCACGCCTGAATGCTGTTAATTTTTTTTCCCTTATAGCCTGCAGCTTTTCTCAGTTCACTTATTCTGATATTTTGTTGACATTGTTGATTTCCTGGGATGATACTCATGCTTTCTACAGAGCTGCTTTTTATTTCTTCTTTTCTCATATATGAATAGTCTAATTGGTTTTTCCTCAGTATTGATTGTCAGCCTTTCCAGCCTTGTGTCATGTGGAAAGAGGGGCTGGGGATGCCTTTTGATGTTTTGGTTTTAAAAGAGCTGACTCTAGCGCTTCACTAAGTAAATGTTGGTGCTTTGTAATTTTATGATAAATTATTTTAAAATAATATCTTTATCATGCATAACCAGCTTTTAAAACAAATAGTTGGCTTAAGTCAAAAAACTCTGCAGTTCACTTCCTCCTTGTAACATTTCTAAATTTCATCCACATCTGAATAATCCTTGTCTTAGTTGGAAGAAATATTTTTTTCCCGAAAACATTCTTTAGTGTCAGAACCATTTGTTTATTTATTTATGTATTTATTTATTTATTTTGAGACGGAGTCTCGCTCTGTCGCCCAGGCTGGAGTGCAGTGGCCGGATCTCAGCTCACTGCAAGCTCTGCCTCCCGGGTTTATGCCATTCTCCTGCCTCAGCCTCCCGAGTAGCTGGGACTACAGGCGCCCGCCACCTCGCCCGGCTAGTTTTTTGTATTTTTTAGTAGAGACGGGGTTTCACGGGGTTAGTCAGGATGGTCTCGATCTCCTGACCTCGTGATCCGCCCGTCTCGGCCTCCCAAAGTGCTGGGATTACAGGCTTGAGCCACCGCACCCGGCCTAGTGTCAGAACCATTTGTGACTGTAGTGGTTTTACCCCTGCCCTACTGAGCGCATTTGTTGTAGCCCTTAGTGTCCATCTTCGCTCTGTGATATACTCAGATGTAAATCTTCCAGAGTCTGATGGGTGCTTGATAGTGGCCTTTCCTTCACCAGGAATTGCTCTGATTTATGGTGAAGTAAAACAACCCTCCATGAAAGCATGAAAAGTGTCTAGTCCTAGGTTTCAGTCCTAACTCAGAGTTTTCGCCTCCCAGGTTCTAAGTGTACATTGATTTTTCTTCCTAGACAGTACTCAAAAGGCAGGGATGGTTGACATATCTGTTTGAGTGAAAGGCACTCTCATTCCATGAATGTGCTTTTCTTGGGATTTCTGCTATTAATTTTTTTTTTTTTTTTTTTTTGAGATGGAGTCTTGCTCTGTTCCCCAGGCTAGAATGCAGTGGTGCGATCTTGGCTCACTGCAACTTCCGCCTCCCAGGTTCAAGCAATTCTCCTACCTCACCCTCCTGAGTAGCTGGGATAACCAGCGCCTGCCACCATGCCCAGCTAATTTTGTATTTTTGGTAGAGATGGGGTTTCACCATGTTGCACAGGCTGGTCTCGAACTCCTGACCTCAAGTGATCTGCCCACCTTGGCCTCCCAAAGTGTGGGGATTACAGGCGTGAGTCACCGCGCCCGGCCTACAGTCACAGTCTTTAGTCCGTGCTATGCTTGTGCAATAATTTCCCCAGCTAGGAGACAGGACTAGGTGACAAGGTTCTTTTTAAAAAAAAATAGGTTTTGGGGGTAGAAGTGCCATTTCCTTACATGCATGTGTTATGTAATGGTGAAGTCTGGGATTTTGCAGTACCCATTGCCCAAATAGTGAACATAGTACCCAGTAGATAACTTTTCAGACCTCATACCCCTCCCATCCTCCCACATTCTGAAACCTCCAGTGTCTGCTATGTTCGTTGTTTTTTGTTTTTTGAGAGAGTCTCTGTCTCCCAGGCTAGAGTGCAGTGGCACCATCGTGGCTCACTGCAACCTTTGCCTCCTGGGTTCAAGTGATTCTCCTGCCTCAGCCTCCCAAGTAGCTGGGATTACAGGTGCCCACCACCACGCCCAGCTAATTTTTGTATTTTTAGTAGAGATGGGGTTTCACCATGTTGACCAGGCTGGTCTTGAACTCCAACCTCAGGTGATCCGCCTGCCTTGGCCTCCCAAAGTGCTGGGATTATAGACATGAGCCACCGCACCTGGCCCCTGTGCCTGTTATTCCATTCTGCATGTCCATGTTTACCCCTTGCTCAGCTCCTGTGGTGACGAGATTCTTGTCCTTGTTTTGCCATTATCTTTTTTCCCTGAGGAAGGCATTTAATCCGTCTCAGCCTTAATTTCTTCTCTGTAAAATGAGGGATTCAGTCACACATACTTTGATTTTTCTTTTTCTAAAGTGTGATTGCTTAGCTGAAAGCCCAGCCAGTAGATTGGAAGAAGTCATTGATCAGCCCTTGTCTGAGCAGTATGCCCTGGTTATTTTCCTCCCTACCTTGCAAGGAACAAACAGATTTAAAAACTGAAGCGTCGTTTATGCTCATTTCAAAGACACAAAGAATGATAAGAGCAATATGGAGTTGACGGATTTGGAGCTAGCAATTAAACAGAATATCAGTAATGTGGAAAAATGCAAAGGCATATAGAATGACTTCCTATCCTTAGCAAAAAATCACACAGAATCCTGTCTCATGCACGTTTTAAGGGGAAAAAAATGACCCCAGAAAGTGGATTTAAAACTAATAAAGCTAAGATGTTTATTATCATTAGTGATAATTTCTGTATAATTGTCATAGAAAGCTTATGCATGAATCTGTAACTTGTTATTGTGGTCTTCACTAGAAATTGCATGTCTTTTTTAATTTCTGAAATAATTTATTGGGATGAAGAGCACTGTCAGTTTTTGTATTAAATTGTTTCAGTAAAGCATGGCCCAATATTTGACATGATGAGTCTGAATGAAGTGATCAGATCTATGTGAGGAATGTGGTTCTATGCTGGATGTTTTGTGGACAAGACAGAAAAAAAATCCCAGCCTAGAAGCATTTTTGAAGTTGCATTGAGGAAAAACTATAATCTGGGGGTCATATTGTCACACTGAGAGAACTACTATGTTCTTTCTCGCTTTCTCATCAGAGGACATCCTTGTACCAGTACCACTCAAATTTTCTGTTCTCCAACTCCTGGCCTTAAGTGATTCTCCTCAAGCAATTCTGCCTCAGCATCCCAAGTGGCTGCGATTACAGGCACGTGCCACCACACGCAGCAAATTCTCCATTCTATACAACTTTTTTTTTGAGACAGAGTCTTGCTCTGTTGCCCAGGCTGGAGTGCAGTGGTGTGATCTTAGCTCACTGCAACCTTCCATTCCCAGGTTCAAGCAATTCTCCTGCCTTAGCCTCCCAAGTAGCTGGGATTTCAGGTGGGCGCCACGACACCCAGCTAATTGTTTGGTTGGTTGGTTGGTTGGTTTCTTTTTTGTTGTTGTTTTTTGAGACGGATTTTCACTCTTGTTGCCTAGGCTGGAGTACAATGGCGTGATCTCGGCTCACTGCAACCACCGCCCCCCGGGTTCAAGCATTTCTCCTGCCTCAGCCTCCCAAGTAGCTTGGATTACAGGCATGTGCCACCATGCCCGGCTGATTTTGTATTTTTAGTAGCGATGGGGTCTTACCATGTTGATCAGGCTGGTCTCCCAACTCCTGACCTCAGGTGATCCGCCCACCTCAGCCTCCCAAAGTGCTGGGATTACAGGCGTGAGCCACCATGCCTGGCCGTATACAACTTTTCAAATTCTCTCTCTCTCTCTCTCTCCCTCTCTCTTTTTTTTTTTTGAGGTGGAGTCTCACTCTGTCGCCCAGGCTAGAATGCAGTGATGTGATCTTGGCTCACTGCAACCTCTGCCTTCTGGGTTGGAGCAGTTCTCCTGCCTCAACCTTCCAGTAGCTGGGATTACAGGTGTGCACCACCACGCCTGGCTAATTTTTGTATTTTTAGTAGAGACAGGGTTTCACCATGTTGGCCAGGCTGGTCTTGAACTCCTGACCTCAGATGATCCACCCACCTTGGCCTCCCAGAGTGCTGGGATTATAGGTGTGAGCCACTGTGCCTGGCCAATTCTTTTTTTTTTTTTTTTTTTTTTTGGAGACAGAATCTCACTCTGTCACCCAGGCTGGAATGCAGTGGGCGTGATCTCAGCTCACTGCAACCTCCGCCTCCTATGTTCAAGCGATTTTCCTGCCTCAGCCTCCCAAATAGCTGGGACTACTGGCTGGCGCCACCATGCTTAACTGATTTTTGTATTTTTAGAAGAGTCGGGGTTTTGTCATGTTGACCAGGCTGGTCTCGAACTCCTGACTTAAGGTGATCTGACCGCCTTGGCCTTCCAAAGTGCTGAGATTGCAGGCGTGAGCCACTGCACTGGCCTCTCAAATTTTCTTTATTTCCTTTGATTTAATTCCTGGGCTGGGATCCTCTGTCTTGGACGTGTGGTTTTGTACTGTACTGACTTTGGAATCAGTAGCCAATCCCTTTCCTCATACTCCTTGCTGACTCCGGAAAAATGGAAATTAACAAGAATTATAAAGTAATACAGAAAGGGACAGTGCTCCCATCTATGATTAAGTGCACGCAACTAATTCATACTTAAGATTTTTTTTGTCTCCTTTCCTTGCTCTATTTAAATTGCTGATTCTCTCACACCTGATGACTCTTCTCTCAAATGCCCATCCTTGATATTTCCTCGAAGTTTTGTGCACCGAGGGCGGCCTGAGCCTCTGGATCTTCACTTGGGCATGTTCCTGCCCACCTTGCTTCACCAGGCAACTGCGGAGCAGCAGGAGCGCTTCTTCATGCCCGCCTGGAACTTGGAGATCATTGGCACTTATGCCCAGACAGAGATGGGTCATGGTATGGAGTATTCAGTCTACCTTCTGGGTTGGGCGGGCCCCTGTGAACTTACCATGTGTGGAGTGCCCACCATGTACCATCGATGGCGTGTTGATGTTCTGTGGTCTGTTTAAATGAGCTTTTTTTTGCAGAGTTCAGGTTTTGGTATAAACACTGCTTTGGTCAGTGGGAATTAAAGGCTATCATAGTGATAAAACGATTGTCTTTTTTATGCCATAGTTCCCCTTCAGAGGGTCAGGAATTACAAGTCAGGTCTTATTTGCCAAGTGGCTTTCAATGTTACTGAGGTTGTATGGAATCTGTGAGCATATACAACTCAAAACTGTTTTTTTCTTCATTACTATCTGATTACCTTTGTTACTGGTACCTTAATGAACTTGTACAAATTCCAGAAGAAACACAAATAATAGTTTGTGTACCCTGTACCCTTGGATTTGCTTGAGGGAAATGAGTAGCTTATAACTGAAGTGTGTGACATTTTGTGCCTTGGAGTTATTTGTACTTTGAGTCAGTCAGTAGTTCTACAAGTAACTTGACTGCAGAGTTAAAAAACCAAGATAAGCCGAACTTGGCAGGCATTTGGTTTCAGACACTATCTCCACCTTTCATTGATCTTTCCATCCCCCACCTGCTTTCTTCATGCACCTGGGTGGGCTGGAGGTGGCCGCTGTTCCTCTTTGTATCTGCTCTGAATTGGATCCATGTTTGCCATTCATTTGCTTTTGGCTTCTCTTTTTCTGCTCTGATATTTCAGAAAAACTGGTCTAGTGTGTATTTGCCACTTGCTCCTTATTTCTGTACAGCTGCTGCTTTTTATTTGGTGCTGAATAGTATTTTACAGGATTTTCATGAGACTCCAAGTGGAATACTATTTGTTTCAGTTGTGCTTTTGAAAACATTTTGTCCTTATCTGTTCTGTTTAATGTTATCTGCTCTTCTGTAAAAGCTGCTTTTTTGATGAAAGATGTCTGTGAAAGTTATGGATTGCACGTAAGTTGGTTATTCAACCTTGGAAGCTTCTAAATGTTTCAAAGTGTGTTTAATGAGGTCTAGCATTATGAAAGCAGATAGGTAAAAGGTTCCCAACATTTGCTTTAGTCAGTAGTTTTGTAGAGACTGCCACCTAGAACATTTTTCTGTAACTCTTTTCAAATAGTTTTGGTATATTTATGTTAAGATTTAAAACGTAAGACGCTATCTATCCCAGTACACATAAGAAACTGGAAACTCTTCCTTGCTGCATTAATGAACCAGCTAGGACTAAGTTAGGCCTGCTATTGGAAATCTGTAGGGTCAACTGAGACCTTATTATTGGACCTTTTTAGGAATTTTTTGAAGTCACATTCCAGGTCATTTCCCCAATAATGGTTATACTTTTATACTTTATTGTTTTGTTTTTTTTTTTTTTTGAGACGGAGTCTCACTCCGTCACCCAGGCTGGAGTGCGGTGGCACAATCTTGGCTCACTGCAACCTCTGCCTCCTGGGTTCAAGCGATTCTCCTGCCTCAGCCTCCTGAGTAGCTGGGACTACAGGCGCATACCACAATGCCTAGCTGTTTTTTGTATTTTTAGTAGAGACGGGGTTTCACCGTGTTAGCCAGGATGGTCTCGATCTCCTGACCTTGTGATCCACCCGCCTCGGTCTCCCAAAGTGCTGGGATTACAGGCGTGAGCCACCGCGCCAGGCCTACATTTTTAATTTATAAGAATTTTGGCTGAAATGTCTTCCTCTCACATGTTATCTTCTCATTAGTACAGAATTCGAGAATGTTGAATTGGTGTGGTTAACACAATACTTATGAGTTGAAATTGGCATACTTGCAACTCAGAGATGGGTTTAAAAAGACAGTTAACATCCCTGTTAAATTAATATATTGTGATCTTAAAAATGTGATTCTAAGTTGCGTTTGTATTTTCTTTCAGTTGCTGTAAATAAATGTAACAAATCAAATACAGAAATGGAACATGCATGACACTTAGATTTTCAACTTAATGGAAAACCATCAGATAGTGTGGGAAATTCAGTGTCTTGGTTGTCAACCAGTTGTAGCTCATCTACTGGTGTTTTTTGTTAGATTTTGTTTTTCTCTGAGATATGAGAGTTTAAAGGACTGTGTAGGAAATTTTTCCTTGTGCCTATTTTTTTCCCCATCTCTTAACTGAAGTCAGTGTAATTTATCTCCTTAGGAACTCACCTTCGAGGCTTGGAAACCACAGCCACATATGACCCTGAAACCCAGGAGTTCATTCTCAACAGTCCTACTGTGACCTCCATTAAATGGTGGCCTGGTGGACGTAAGTGAATTTTTCATCATTTATTGGATGTTTTGAAGGTTTGTCATGAGATTTTGCTTAGAATGTAGAGCTTTTATGAGAACATCTGCCAGGCTTGGTGGTTTCACGCCTGTAATCCTAACACTTCAGGAGGCTGAGGTGGGCGGATCACTTGAGGTCAGGAATTCAAGACCAGCCTGGTTAATATGCTGAAACCCTGTCTCTACTAAAAATACTAAAATTAGCCGGGTGTGATGGCGCACTCCTGTAGTCCTAGCTACTCGGGAGGCTGAGGCAGGAGAATCACTTGAACCCGGAAAGATTGCAGTGAGCCAAGATTGTACCACTGCACTCCAACCTGGGCATCGCAGCAAGACTCTGTCTCAAAAACAACCCAACAAACAAACATATGTGTGTGGTTGTGTGTGTGTGTGTGTGTGTGTGTATAGACAGAGAGAGAGAGGTGTGTGTGTGTGTGTGTGTATATATATATATGTAGAGAGAGAGAGTGCACGAGAGAGAGAGGGGAAAGCCAGGCATAGTGGCATATACCTATAGACCTGTAGTCCTGGCTACTCAGGAGGCTGAGGTGGGAGGACCACTTGAGCCCAAGAGTTCAAGCCTGCAGTGAGCTACTGTCTGTGATCATGCCACTGCATTCCAGCCTGGGTGACAGAGTGAAACCCTGTCTCTTAAAAGAAAAAAATGGCTGGGCATGGTGGCTCACGCTTGTAATCCCAGCACGTTGGGAGACCGAGGCGGGCGGATCACGAGGTCAGGAGATCGAGACCATCCTGGCTAACACGGTGAAACCCTGTCTCTACTAAAAATACAAAAAATTAGCCGGGCGTGGTGGTGCGCGCCTGTAGTCCCAGCTACTCAGAGGCTGAGGAAGGAGAATGGCATGAACCCGGGAGGCGGAGCTTGCAGTGAGCCGAGATCACGCCACTGCACTCCAGCCTGGGTGACAAAGCGAGACTCTGTCTCAAAAAAAAAAAGAAAAAAATTTAAATAGCTTTAACACAATTTTTTTTTTTTTTTTTTTTTGAGACGAAATCTCACTGTGTTGCCCAGGTTGGAGTGCAGTGGCGTGATCTCGGCTCACTGCAACCTCCACCTTCCAGTTCCAGTTCTCCTGCATCAGCCTCCTGAGTAGCTGGGACTACAGGTGCACACCACCAAGCCCAGCTAATTTTTGTATTTTTAGTAGAGATGGGATTTCACCATATTGGCCAGGCTAGTCTCGAACTCCTGACCTTGTGATCTGCCCGCCTCGGCCTCCCAAAGTGCTGGAATTACAGGTGTGAGCCACCGTGCCCAGCTGACCTGAAACTTTTATATCTTCTTATTCCATTCTGAGTTATTATCTTGGAATATATATTTCTGATACAGTTAGTGGTTAAAGGATTTTGTTATTCACATTGTATATTTTATTTAATTATAATTTATATGTAAGAAGGCACATGTAGCTAGTGATTACTGTTTTGGACAGCACTGCCTTAAGGGATAACAAGGAAGTAGTTTAAATTAATATTCTTATTTTTATCCTAAAATTTTCTCTATGTAAATGCATGAGAAATAAGCAGAAAAGAAAGTAATAACTATTAGCTTAAGGGAATTTCTTTCTGAAAGCTAAGTGTGATACTGTCAGCAGAAAGGCTTTCCGGACTCATACTATTGGTTTAGTCTAGCGTTAGATGTAACATATTCTTTCTTCTTTTTTCTACCCTTTAAAAATGTACGAACGTTTACTCACCCCTCTCTTGTTCCCTTTGATATTACAGTTGGAAAGACTTCAAATCATGCAATAGTTCTTGCCCAGCTCATCACTAAGGGGAAATGCTATGGATTACATGCCTTTATCGTACCTATTCGTGAACTCGGGACCCATAAGCCTTTGCCAGGTAAGAACTGTTCATCTGATGTTGAGATGAAAATGAAACTGAGCACTTTCTTAAAAGGTAGAATGCCCAACTGAAGAAATGGAGCGAAAGCCAGAAATTCCAGAGCATAAACATCTCATGACTGTCCTTTCATCTGTGGTAGGAATTACTGTTGGCGACATCGGCCCCAAATTTGGTTATGATGAGATAGACAATGGCTACCTCAAAATGGACAACTATCGTATTCCTAGAGAAAACATGCTGATGAAGTATGCCCAGGTATGTTTTGATAGAAAATAGAAGCAGAGGCATCAAACAGTGGGGTTGCAGTGGCTGTTGCTCACAATAGGGTTAGAATGGTCTGTTCTTTTAGAAGGTAATAACAGCCGGCACACTGGCATATTCCTGTTATCCCAGCACTTTGGGAGGCTGAGTGCATGGATGACTTGAGCCCAGGAGTTCAAGACCAGCCTGGGCAACATAGTGTGAACCCATCTCTACAAACATTTAAAAAATCTAGCTGGGCATGGTAGCACACGTGTGCAGTCCCGGCTACTTGGGAGACTGGGGTGGGAGGATCACTTGAGCCTGGGAGGTCGAGGCTTCAGTGAGCTGTGATTACGCCACACTGTACTCCGGCCTAGATAACAGTGAGACCTTGCCTCAAAAAAAAAAAAAAAAAAAATGCTGGGTGCGGTGGCTCACACCTGTAATTCCAGCACTTTGGGAGGCTGAGGCAGGAAGATCATGAGGTCAGGAGATGGAGACCATCCTGGCCAACCAACATGGTGAAACTCCGTCTCTACTAAAAATACAAAAAAATTAGCTGGGCGTGGTGGCGTGCGCCTGTAGTCCCAGCTACTCAGGAGGCTGAGGCAGGAGAATCTCTTGAATCCAGGAGGCAGAGGTTGCAGTGAGCAGAGATCGTGCCATTGCACTCCAGCTTGGCAACAGAGTGAGACTCTGTCTTATAAAAGGAGGTAATAAGGCTGGGCGCGGTGGCTCATGCCTGTAGTCCCAGCACTTTGGGAGGCTGAGGAGGGCGGATCATGAGGTCAGGAATTCAAGACCAGCCTGACCAATATGGTGAAACCCTGTCTCTACTAAAAATACAAAGATTAGCTGGGTGTGATGGCATGTACCTGTAATCTCAGCTACTCAGGAGGCTGAGGCAGGAGAATCACTTGAACCCGGAAGGCAGAAGTTGCAGTAAATCAAGATCGCACCACTGTCCTCCAGCCTGGGCAACACAGCGAGACTCTTGTCTCAAAAAAAAAGGTAATAATGCATTTTTCCTTCTGATGCTTTTTTTTTTTTTTTTTTGAGAGAGAGTCTTGCTTTGTCACCCATGCAGTGGTGTGATCTTGGCTCACTGCAACCTCCGCCTCCTGGGTTCAAGTGATTCTCCTGCCTCAGCCTCCCGAGTAGCTGGGATTATAGGCATGCGGCACCACACCCAGCTAATTTTTTTTGTATTTTTAGTAGAGGTGGGGTTTCACCCTGTTGGCCGGGCTGGTCTCGAACTCCTGACTTCAAGGGACCCTCCTGCCTCGGCCTCCCAAAGTGCTAGGATTACAGGTGTGAGCCACTGTGCCCGGCATTTTATTTTTATTTTTTTTTTTTTTTTGAGATGGAGTCTCACTCTGTCACCCAGGCTGGAGTGCAGTGGCACAATCTCAGCTCACTGCAACCTCCGCCTCCCGGGTTCAAACGATTCTCCTGTCTCAGCCTCCTGAGTAGCTGGGATTACAGGCACGTGCCACCACACTCAGCTAATTTTTGTATTTTTAGTAGAGACAGGGTTTCACCATTTTGTTCAGCCTGGTCTCAAACTCCTGACCTCTTGATCTGTCCGCTTTGGCCTCCCAAAGTGCTGGAATTACAGGCGTGGTCATCACGCCCACTCTGTTGCTGCTTTTACTGTGACAGTGAAATCAGAAGCAGTTAGCAGGGTTGAAGGATATATTTTGATTTGCTAAACCAGTGATTCTCAAACTTGCATGCATTAGAATCACCTGGAAGGCCAGTTAAAGCCCAGATTGCTAGGCCCCACCCCGGAGTTTCTGATTCAGTTGGTCAGGGTGGGGACTAAGATGTCGTAGTTCATGCAAGTTGCCAGGTGATGCTGATGCTGCTATTCCAGGGACTATACTTTGAGAACCACTGAACTGCCTCTTGGACTTAAAAAAAGGAAGCATCAGTCCCACGTTCTTCTTCCAGGTGAAGCCTGATGGCACGTACGTGAAACCACTGAGTAACAAGCTGACTTACGGGACCATGGTGTTTGTCAGGTCCTTCCTTGTGGGAGAAGCTGCTCGGGCTCTGTCTAAGGCGTGCACCATTGCCATCCGATACAGCGCTGTGAGGCACCAGTCTGAAATCAAGCCAGGGTAAGGGTAGGGTCCTAGATGGGCTCAGTACCGAAAGCCTAGTTTTTACCCCATTCAGATCCCAGAATTCCCAAATGTCAATACAGAAGATGCATTGGCACTGCAAAATTGGCTAGGGTGATAATGGGGCCTGTAATTTTGTATCTAGGCTTCCTTTTCTTAAGAGGAAAGATAGAAATAACCACCCTTGCTATAATCAGTGACTGCCAAAAAAGAAAAAAAGAGAATACTCACCTTTTTATTTTTAACCTTTTAAGAAAAGTAGTAATACTACTACTTGAACTTTGTAAGTGAAATGTTCAACACATTAAAGGCAATTTGAAAGTTCGGATTACTACTAGCAACTATAAATTGTGCATGGTGAAAGTGACATTAAATTTGTTTCCCTTTTGCATTCATGGCCACAGTTTATTCCTACAACTGCCTTTCACTGATACTCCCTGATACTCTTTTTACTCTTAAGGAATAAAGAAATTGGCCAGGTGTGGTAGCTCACACCTGTAATCCCAGCACTTTGGGAGGCCGAGGCAAGATTACTTGAGCTTAGGAGTTTGAGGCCAACCTGAGCAACACAGCGAGACCCTGTCTCTCTTTTCTTTCCTTTCCCTTTCCCTTTCCCTCCCCTCTCCTTAACTAATCTGTTAAGAGGAGAGGAGAGGAGAGGCTGGGCACAGTGGGTCATGACTGTAATCTCAGCACTCTGGGAGGCCGAGGCGGGCGGATCACCAGGTAAGGAGTTCAAGACCAGTCTGACCAACATGGTGAAACCCTGTCTCCTTAACTAATCTGTTAAGATACAGATTGGAGGTCTGAGGAAATGATCAACAGTACTCATGCCTTCTTGTCATCTATAGGGCCCCAGCCTAGAATGTCTGCTGCGTATTCTAGCTCTTGAGGAAAAGCTCACACCAGCTTACGGAGTTATGCTTCGGTTAGGCTTTGGGGCTATTGATATCTACTTTGTGAGTGCAGCCAGACTGCTGCCTGCTGTGGCTGGATCGTTGACTGGGCAGGTCATTCAAATAGGACACCCGCTGCCACACCAGCTTTCCTGAGTAGACCTGGTCATAACTTTTCATCAGAACCTAAAAATCACCAGTAAACCTGCTTCTAGTAACTACTTTTGTTTTGTTTTGTTTTGTTTTTTCTTTTTTGAGATGGAGTTTCGTTCTTGTTGCCTAGGCTGGATGAAGTACAATGGCCAGATCTCAGCTCACTGCAACCTCCTCTTCTCAGGTTCAAATGAATGATTCTTCTGCTTCAGCCTCCCAAGTAGCTGGGACTACAGGCACCTGCCACCATGCCCAGCTAATTTTTGTATTTTTTTTTTAAGTAGAGACAGGGGTTTTCCATATTGGCCAGGCTGGTCTTAAACTCCTTACCTCGTAATCTGCCCGCCTCGGCCTCCCAAAGTGCTGGGATTACAGGGTAGGCCACACACCTGGCCTTTTCCTTTTCCGATGGAGTTTTCCTCTTGTTGCAGGATGGAGTGCAATGGCACAATCTTGGCTCACTGCAACCTCCGCCTCCCAGGTTCAAGTGATTAGCCTCTCCCAGCCTCCCAAGTTGCTGGGATTATAGGCATGTGCCACCATGCCTGTCTAATTTTTTTTGTATTTTTAGTAGAGACCAGGGACAGCCATGTTGGTCAGGCTGGTCTTGAACTCCTTACCTCGTGATTCGGCCTCCCCTCCCCTTCCCTCTCCTTTTCGTCTTTTTTTTTTTTTTTTTTTTTTGAGATGGATTCTAACTCTGTTGCCCAAGCCGGAGTGCAGTGGCACCATCTCAGCTGCTGCAATCTCCGCCCCTGGGTTCAAGTGATTCTCCTGCCTCAGCCTCCTGAGTAGCTGGGATTACAGTCCCTTTTTTACACCACCATGCCCGGCTAATTTTTTGTCATTTTAGTAGAGACAGGATTTCACCATGTTAGTCCAGGCTGGTCTATTTTCAACAAAATTAAAATTAATTCAAATTTTTAAAGCCAGGTGCAGTGGCTCACGCCTGTAATCCCAGCACTTTTGGGAGGCCAAGGCGGGCGGATCACTTGAAGTCAGGAGTTAAAGGGATCAGCCTGGCCAGCCGCTAGTGGCTCCATCTACTAAAAATACAAAACTTAGCCAGAGTATAGTGGCGGGTGCCTGCAATTATTCTCAGAACTGAGGCAGAGAAATCTTGAACAGGAAATGGAGGGTTAGCAGTGACAAAATCACAACACTGTACTCCATCCTGGGTGGTAAGAGACTTCATCTCAAAAACAATAATAATTACATTTTAAAAGAAATAAAGTTGATACAATCAGACGGCTTGCTAGATTCTTACACTTCAAAATATTTAACACCCTCCATTGGGTCTTCTCCCAATTGTCAAATACAGTGTATTCAGCCATCTGGTGAGCAGAGCACTTCAGCATTGCCTTCTTACTGGGTTGTCTAGCGTTGGTTTTATATGTTGCTATGAGCTACGGTTTTCTTAGTCATACTGGAAAGACTAGGACAATGTGGACTTTGCAGCTAGAAATTCTTTGTCAACCTACACAGTAGAAGGTAATTCAGAGGCATGGTCTTGAAATTCACCCAAATAGCCTAGGCACCATGGCTCATGCCTGCTAATCCCAACACTGTGGGAGGCTGAGCGCAGGAGAATCGCTTGAACCTGGGAGGTGGAGCTTGCAGTGAGCCAAGATGCTTTCCACTGCACTCAGCCTAGGTGACAGAGGAGACTCCATCGCTAAAAAAAAAAAAGAGCCCCAATTTCAATCTAAGACCTGACACATGAACTGTGACCTTAGGCAGATTCTTAAACTCTAAGTTTCCATTTGTAAAATGAGGATAGTAATAATAACTATCTCACAGTGCCCTTATAAAAAAGGACTAAATAAGTTAAAATATCAGAGTGCTGGCGGGCGCAGTGATCAAACCTGTAATCCCAGCACTTTGGGAGGCCGAGGCAGGCGGATCACGAGGTCAGGGGCCCGAGACCATCCTGGCTAACACGGTGAAACCCCGTCTCTACTAAAAATACAAAAACTAGCCGGGGCGAGGTGGCGGGCGCCTGTAGTCCCAGCTACTCCGGGAGGCTGAGGCAGGAGAATGGCGTGAACCCGGGAGGCGGGGCTTGCAGTGAGCTGAGATCGGCCACTGCAGTCCAGCCCGGAGCTACAGAGCAAGACTCCGTCTCAAAAAAAAAAAAAAAAAAAAAAAAAAAAAAATATCAAGTACTTGGAACCCAAGAACCCGGCATATAGAAAGTTCTGTATAAACATTTTACTTACTATTTATTTTTTTTTCTCGCACGTCATGTAGTGAACCAGAACATAGATTTTGGATTTTCAAACCAGCAGTATAAACTCTTACTCCTGGCCACTGCCTATGCCTTTAGTTTGTGGCGCATACATGAGAGACCTATCCGGATTAATGAAGGCATTGGTCAAGGGGACCTGAGTGAACTGCCTGGAGGTCTGAGTTTAGTCTCATTCACTGGCGGCACCCTTCTGTTTCATGGTTGCCTGTTGGACGTATCCAGAACAACTAGATGTTGGGATTTCCTGAAAGAATTATGTATTCCCAGAAATACTGAATTCTGAGAAATAGTTGAAAGTAGATCAGATATGAAGAACCCTTAGAAGTTTTATTTGTTAAAGTATTTTTCATGTTATCAATATTGTACCATGTTGATTGTTGTCAATCAAGGAAGCGTAAGTGAGTGAATTTTTAGCCAAGTAGGCAGCTCAGATGGGTGTGGGTAGTGTTCTCCATTCTTCTGGCCAGTCGGACAGCTGTGTGCCCTTCAGTTTGCATGTGTAGCAGCTGTGTTTTGACAGTGGCTGGGATTTTAGAGGAGAGTGTGTTTTTTCTCTCTAGAAGTGGTTCTCAGGCTCTATTTTTACAAAATGTCCTGACAGATTGTGCTTGTCCTCTTAGCTTCATGCCCTCACTGCTGGACTTAAGGCTTTCACCTCCTGGACTGCAAACACTGGCATCGAAGCATGTCGGATGGCTTGTGGTGGGCATGGCTATTACTCATTGCAGTGAGTCTTCCAAATATTTATGTCAATTTCACCCCAAGCTGTACCTTTGAGGAAAAGCTTCACTGTCATGATGCTCAGACGGCTAGGTGAAGTCAAATCCATAGTTCCTCCCATCTGTGTATAAGAATGTTCTGGAAGATCCTTTTCTGATTCTTATTCCCATAGTTTTCGTCACCATATATATATATTTGTTCTGAAAGGTATACTTTTCCACCTTCCATTCATTTCACTGTTTTTATTGCATTGGTGGGCTAGAGTATGGCCAACACCTGTTACATGGCAAGTTGTATCAAGGGGTAGAGTTACTGGGCTGGGCACAGTGGCTCATGTTAATCCCAGCACTTTGGGAGCCGAGGCGGGCGGATCACGAGGTAAGGAGTCAAGACCAGCCTGACCAACATGGTCAAACCCTGTCTCTACTAAAAATACAAAAAAATTAGACTGTGAGCATGGTGGCACATGCCTATAATCAGCTACTTGGGAGGCTGAGGCAGAAGAATCACTTGAACCTGGGAGGCGGAGGTTGCAGTGAGCCAAGATTGTGCCATTGCACGCCATCCTGGCAACAAGAGTGAAAACTCCATCGGAAAAAAAAAAAAGGCCAGGTGTGGTAGCTCCTCCTGTCAATCCCAGCACTTTGGGAGGCCAGAGGCTGGGTGGTGTGGTCACTTGAGGTCAGGAGTTAGAGACTGGCCTGGCCAACATGGTAAAACCCTGTCTACTAGAAAAATATTAAAATTAGCCCAGGCATGGTGGCAGGTGCCTGTAGTCCCAGCTACTCGGAAGGCTGAGACAGTCATTCATTTGAACCTGAGAGGAGGAGGTTGCAGTGAGCTGAGATCTGGTGTTGCACTTCATCCAGCCTAGGCAACGCAAAACAAAAACTCCATCTCAAAAAAAAAAGAAAAAGCGATTACTAAAAGCATATTTACTGAAGCTTGATTTTTAGGTTCCTGATGAAAAGTTATGACCAGGTTCACTCAGGAAAGCTGGTGTCTTCAGCATGAGTGTTCCTATTTGAATGACCTGCCCAGTCAGCGCATCCAGCCACAGCAGGTAACAGTCTGGCCAACATGCATTGAATATCAATGGCCCCGAAAGCCTAACAGAGCGTATAAACTCCGTGCAGCCAGAGTGAGCTTTCCCTCAAGAGCTAAATCACGCAGCAGAGGGCTGAGGCCTGATAGATGACAAGAAGAGCATAATTACTGTTAGTCATTTCCTCAAACCTCAATCTGTCTTAACAGATTAGTAAAGTCACTGCAAAAAACCACCTCCAATCTGTGTCTTAACAGATTAGTAGAAATTGCTGCAAAAAACCTTCAAAAAGAAGTGATTCACAGAAAAAGCAAGGAGGTAGCATGGAACCTAACTTCTGTTGACCTTGTTCGAGCAAGTGAGGTCAGTGGTAGTTCTCTCTTTTTCCCCTTCCCTGCCCCCTAGCGTCCCACATTTTCTGGTGCAGAAACCCTAGTCACTGTGTATTGAATCTTTTTGTGAGGTTCTCAAACTTAGGTGTTTTCTGTTTAATCTTAGGCACATTGCCACTATGTGGTAGTTAAGCTCTTTTCAGAAAAACTCCTCAAAATTCAAGATAAAGCCATTGAAGCTGTCTTAAGGAATTTATGTCTGCTGTATTCTCTGTATGGAATCAGTCAGAACGCAGGGGATTTCCTTCAGGTCAGTATATTCTAAGTACAAGTCTTTTTTGTTGTTAAGAAAAGTAATTGTTGGCCGGGCGCGGGCAACCCTGGAGGCAGAGGTTGCAATGAGCCAAGATTGCAGTGGTGCAATGAGCACCACTGCACTCCAGCCTGGGCGACAGAGCAAGACTCTGTCTCAAAAAAGAAAAATAGCTGGGCACAGTGGCTCACACCTGTAATGCCAGCACTTTGGGAGGCCAAGGCAGGTGGATCACCTGAGGTCGGGAGTTCAAGACCAGCCTGACAAACATAGAGAAACCCTGTCTCTACTAAAAATACAAAATTAGCCTGGCATGCTATTGCATGCTTGTAATCCCAGCTATTCTGGAGGCTGAGGGAGGAGAATCGCTTGAACCCAGGAGGCAGAGATTGCGGTGAGCCAAGATCACGCCATTGCACTCCAGCCTGGGCAACAAGAGTGAAACTCAGTCTCAAAAAGAAAATTTACTGTCTGCTTCATAGCTGTATATGTATATAATTATGTCTATCTGTATACATATATATGTTTTATTTACTTATTTTGGTCTCTTTTAGGGGAACATCATGACAGAGTCTCAGATTATGCAAGTAAACCCGCGTATAAAGGAGTTACTCACTCTTATTCGCTCAGATGCTGTTGCTTTGGTTGATGCATTTGATTTTCAGGATGTGACACTTGGCTCTGTGCTTGGCCGCTATGATGGAAATGTGTATGAAAACTTGTTTGAGTGGGCTAAGAACTCCCCACTAAACAAAACAGAGGTAAAAATCCAGTGTCTTTGCACCTTTTTAAAAGTCTTCACTTAAATATTGAAGCAGGAAAGGCCTTTGGAAAGGGATTTATCTGTGAAAGCTCTGAAAGTACTGTGGCCACTTCTGACAGTTACTTTATTTGAGCAACAGGTTCAGAAGGGAACTGCGTTGATCCCATAGTAACCAGGGTCTTAATCAATTTCAATTTTTGATAACGAATTGAACATTTAAAAATATATATAGGCTGGGTGCGTTGGCTCACACCTGTAATCCCAGCACTTTGGGAGGCCAAGTGGGCGGATCACCTGAGGTCAGCAGTTCGAGAATAGCCTGGCTAAAATGATGAAACTCCGTCTCTACTAAAAATACAAAAAATCAGCCGGGCGGTAGTGGTGCACGCCTAGAGTCCCAGCTACTTGGGAATTCTCCTGCCTCCGCTTGAAGCCAGGAGAACCCAGGAGGCGGAGGTTGCAGTGAGCCATGTTTGTGCCATTGCACTCCAGCCTGGGCGACAAGAGCAAAACTCTGTCACAAAAAAAAAAAAAAGTATATATATACACACACACACACACAAATAGAATAAAATATACAAAAAGAGAATTCCATAGTGCTCTTTGGTACACCCTTTGTCTAGCAGCAATGACTGTCAACTCGTGGCCAGTTGTGTTTCATCTGAACCTTCATCCCCATCCTCCTGGGGACTATTTTGAAATAAATCTAAGACATCAGGGCCAGACTCAGTGACGCACACCTGTAATTCCAGCACTCTGGGAGGCCAAGGTGGGCAGATCACCTGAGGTCAGGAGTTTGAGACCAGCCTGACTAACATGGAGAAACCCTGTTTCTACTAAAAATACAAAATTAGCCGGGTGTGGTGGCGCATGCCTGTAATCCCAGCTACTCGGGAGGCTGAGGCAGGAGAATTGCTTGAACCTGGGAGGTGGAGGTTGTGGTGAGCCGAGACAGTGCCATTGCACTCCAGCCTGGGCAACAAGAGCAAGGCTCCATTTCAAAAAAAAAAAAAAAAATGACCAGGCGTGGTGGCTCACGCCTGTAATCCCAGCACTTTGGGAGGCCAAGGCGGGTGGATCACAAGGTCAGGAGATCGAGAGCATCCTGGCTAACACGGTGAAACCCCATCTCTACTAAAAATACAAAAAATTAGCCGGGCGTGGTGGTGGGTGCCTGTAGTCCCAGCTACTCAGGAGGCTGAGGCAGGAGAATGGCGTGAACCCGGGAGGCAGAGCTTGCAGTGAGCCGAGATCGTGCCACTGCACTCCAGCCTGGGAGACAGAGTAAGACTCCATCTCAAAAAAATAAATAAATATATAAACTAAGACATCAGATAATTTTATCCATAAATAATTCAATGCATATCTCTGAAAGATAAGGACTCTGTAGTAATAACCACAGGCTGGGCACAGTGGTACGCCTGTAATCTTAGCACTTTGGGAGGCTGAGGTGGGTGGATGACTTGGGTTGAGGAGTTCTAGACCAACCTGGCCAACATGGTAAACCCCCATCTCTACAAAAATTGGAAATAGCAGCCAGGTGTCATGGCACACACCTGTAGTTCTAGCAACTCAGGAGGCTGAGATGGGAAGATCCCTGGAGCCTAGGAGGCAGAGGCTGTACTGAGCCAGGATGTGCCACTGCACTCCAGCCTGGGCAACAGAGTAGGACTCAGTCTCCAAAAAAAAAAAAAAGTATACTATTTAACATTACAAACTCTTTATTAGTAGTTCTTCTCTTTCCCTTTCCCACAGGTCCACGAATCTTACAAGCACCTGAAATCACTGCAGTCTAAGCTCTGAAGTGTCACAAGGACAAGTTTAATCTGCTCCAGAAAGCACCTGTGTGCAACTCGAATCTGTGTGGAATCTTTTTTGAATTCAAATAGCTATAGAGCAAATGATAAATTGACCCCTTTTTATAAATGGAGGGAAAAAAATGAACAGATTTCAGAGATTAAATGAAAAAAAAAAGCAGATGTTTTAAGTGCAATTAACACTGAAAGAGACCTGTTAAACCATTCAGAAAAAGCTTAAGAAATGCAATATGACTTCCTTTTGTAATGCTGCTGATCCCAGTAGACTATGACTTTTGATAATTAGCAGAATTTAACTACTAAGTAGTTGATTATTTTCACATTTTAATTGCTAATCACTGGCTATATAAGTGTTTTTAAGCAAAGGTATTTTTGAAGTGGTGTAGAACCCTTCCAAGCTTTCCTGCTCGGTGTTCTACCAGACTTACCCTGGGACCTGGCTTAAAAGCAGGATTGAAGAAAAGGGACTGGGGGAAGGAAACTATTGGAAAACTTGATGCAAATGAGTTTCTGCTTGGCACAGTCTCTGCCTGCTTGCTCTCCTTTGCTAATGGATTGCGTTTATCAAACTATTCATGCTAGCATTTTTCCAACAAGAGAACTTATTTCGCAAGGGCCTGCTGTAGGACCATTGTCTCGTGTAATTAGGAATTTTCCATTTGAAAGATCGCTAAGTTGTCACAGTAGTAGGAACTGTAGGGAGAGCTCTCAGCTGTAACTTTGGTGACCATATTAACTGGATTTTCTGGGACAATCAGATTTCAAATATTCTGTCATCTTGGCATAAGCCATTAAAAGCTTGGAGGTTACCATATTTGGCATTAAAAAAATGTCGCTTAGGTCACCTCACTCCCAGATGTAGCACAGAAAAACCCTTTGACACAAACCATGTGTTCTGATTTTTGGTTCAGAAAATATAATCATTGAAACGGTGAGGGGTTTTTTTTTTTTTTCTTTTTTTAACAACTGGGAGAAAACAAAAACAAAAAACTATGGTTAGAAAAATGGAAGTTCTGTAGGTTCTATTTCTTACTATATGTATGGCTTTGTTTTCAGTATATTTCTAGGAGCTTTATCTGAATTGCTAATTGTCCTTTCAGCTGAAATCTAATTTACATAATCATTCTATATTTAAAGATTAAATACATCTCAATTAATTTTTTCTTAAAGTCAATGTAAGTCACTTTGTTGTTTTTTTTGTTTTGTTTTTTTTTTTTTGCTTTTTAAAATCTGCGCCGTATGCCTCATGAAACCAGCTGTTCTAGAATCAGTCCTGAGAATATGGTTTAATTCCATGGAAACATAATTCCTGTCTTGGGACCTGACATAATATCTATCTATCCTGGGGAACTGGTAATATGACACTTTTAGGTTACAGCAGAAATGCTACATATTGACAAAAGTCTAAATCTTTCCATTGGGAGAACTAATTGATAATTGTGTTAAGATTGAAGATTAACCCTGAGTTAATCTCACTTGAGTCTATCTTGACAGTAGTTCAGATTCTGGAAAATGATAAACTGACCTGCTAGATGTAGAATTGTTTCAAAATTAGTGTTGAAATACCTTGTTCACAGATGATTATCTGGGCAGGATCTGAGGGTGTTTGGAATGACATCCCCCTAATCCATTTGCATAGATGGGATGTCTTTGCAGGTTTGAGGAGATCATCGACCTGCAGGTCCCCCTTTGACCTAGTACCTCAAGTTTTATTTAAAATCTAAATCTGGGGCCAGGTGCGGTGGCTCACACCTGTAATCCAAGCACTTTGGGAGGCCGAGACTCGTGGATCACCTGAGGTCAGGAGTTTGAGATCATCCTGGCCAACATGGTGAAATCCCATCTCTACTAAAAAAAAAAAATACAAAAATTAGCTGGGCATGGTGGTGGTGCGTGCCTGTAATCCCAGCTACTCAGGAGGCTGAGGCAGGAGAATCACTTGAACCGGGAGCGGGGTGGTGGAGGTTGCAGTAAGCCAAGATGACGCCACTGCACTCCAGCCTGGGTGGCTGAGCGAGACTCCGTCTCAAAAAATAATGAAATAAAATCTAAATCTGATGTTTGATGCTATTTTTATTAATATTGAAATATTCTGTCTTGAACTTTATTCAATATAATCAAGAGTAAAGATACAGTAAACCTCGCTGATTTGTACTATTAAGAGAGAAAAAATATGCCACACAAACTTAGGTTTAAATTATGAAGAAATTTAGAATATAGGTTTATTAGATTTAGGGAACACTAAGAATAAAAAAGGAAGGAATGATACCTGCCTGAGTGGATAACTATAAATCAGCTGTAATTACTGCAGTTGCAGCAATAGTTGTGAGTGGCTCCAGTCACCTTAGGAGTCCTTGGAAGTACTTGGTACACATTTGTTGGCTGTACCTTAAAGGAAGTGGCAAGTCCAGTTTGTTCTCTCTACCACACTAGACTGCCACTGACAGGTTTGGGTCTGTTGGATTCAAAATTTTGTGAGCCATTTTCACAAGTACAAAGATACATTTTAACCTTGTTTTCTCCAAAATTACTGAGTAAGAATTTTATTTTTTATTTTTATGTTTTTGAGACAGGGTATCACTCTGTCACCCAGTCTGGAGTACAATGGTGGGATGTTGGCTCACTGTGACCTCTGCCTCCCGGGTTCAAATGGTCCTCCCTCCTCAGTCTCCTGAGTAGCTGGGACCACAGGCACGTGCCCCCATGCCCGGCTAATTTGTTCTACTTTTTTTGTAGAGACAAGGTTTTGCCATGTTGCCCAGGCTGGTCTCAGATTCCTGGGCTCAAGTTATTATCTTGCCTCAGCCTCCCAAAGTGTGAGATTACAGGTGTGAGCCACAGCACCTGGCCCAGAGTGAGAATTAATGAGATTTTTGTGTGTGTGTCAGATAATACTAATTTAAGCCTTTCTTAAAAAAGTACTCTCAACCAAATACAAAGTTGAAAATGTGAGGTTTAATAGAAATGTGTTGGCTATTTGTAATGGATTCTTCTTGCCCAAGTGTTTGGAGTTCTACTTTATGCTCTGTATTTAAAAATTAGTGACCTCAAAGCAGAGTTGGTGACATAGCCTTTCGGGCCCTCATGTTCTTGTCTTTAGAACATATCACTACTAAGTATCAGCTTATCTTCAGAACATTACAACATTCACTATGTTCATCTGCTTTCTGAGAAGTCACCACTTGTAATTTCAGATCATATATACCTCTGCAATGGCGACTTCATTTTATAGTTCCTAAAGTTAGCATGTTAGATCTTTTTTTTCCACCCCACAAGGGTCTCACTCTCACCCAGGCTGGAATGCAGTGGTGTGATTGTAGCACACTTTGGCCACCAACTCTTGGACTCAAGTGATCCTCCTGCCTTGGACTCTTCTGAGAAGCTGGGATTACTGGTGTACACCACCACACCTGGCTAATATTTTTTTTTTTTTTTTTTTGGAGATAGGATATGGCTATGTTGCCTTGGGCCGGTCGTGAACTCGTAGCCTCAGGTGATCTTCCCACCTCAGGCCTCCCAAAGGGTTGGGATTACAGGAGTGAGCTGCTGTGCTGGGCCAAAGTGTTACTTTTTTTTTTTTTTTTTTTTTTTTTTGAGACGGAGTCTTGCTCTGTTGCCCAGGCAGGAATGCAATGGTGCAATCTCGGCTTACTGCAATCTTCACCTCCCGGGGTCAAGCGATTCTCCCACCTCAGCCTCCTGAGTAGCTGGGATTACAGGCACCTACCATCACGCTTGGCTAATTTTTGTATTTTGAGCAGAGATGGGGTTTCACTATGTTGGCCAGGTGATCTGCACACACCCCCCGCCACCTCCCAAAGTGCTGAGATTACAGGCGTAAGCCACCACGCCACCTCGCCCAGCCAACATGTTACATCTTAATTCTTGGATTTTCTTCACTGCAGGGCTTTGGGTGGAGAAATAAAACTCTTCAAATGCATAATCTTGGAGATCCTGTGAATCAATAATTCTTTAGAATTATTAGCGGCTCAAAATCCCTCCTCTATTTTCCGAGTTACTCCATCCATCTTACTAGGAAGTGAATTAGGTGTAGGTGGTCTGTAACACCCGCACATCTTTGTATACATGTAGAGGGTATGCCTGGGATACACAGGTTGTCTTCAAGCAGTAGCTGCTACTACAGCTAGAGGAGGAGTGCCAGGAAATTGATGACCTGAGACCAAGAGTCTTGTTGATGTTCTGACTTAGATAAAGGTTTTGATCATTTTTCATGAAACAATGCAGGAAAGTCATTTCTGCTGTTTATTTACTACGTTATTGGAGGATTAGAACAAGTCACACTGTAATGGACTAAAATGACTTTTTATTTTAAAATACTGATGGTGGTTTTTTTGGGTTTTTCTTGTTTTGTTTTTTTGTTTTTGAGACGCTGTCTTGCTCTTTCACCCAGGCCAGAGTGCAGTGGCGCAATCTTGGCTCACTGCAACCTCCGCCTCCTGGGTTCAAGCAGTTCTCCGCCTCAGCCTTCTGAGTAGCTGTGATTACAGGCGCCTGCTGCCATGCCCGTCTAATTTTTTTGTATTTTTAGCAGAGACGGGGTTTCACCAAGTTGGCCAGGCTCGTCTTGAACTCCTGACCTCGTGATCCACCCACCTCAGCCTCCCAAAGTGCTGGAATTACAGGCGTGAGCCACTGCGCCCAGCCAGTGTTTTGCTTTTAACTGTGCACACTTACTAAATTTTCCAGTACCTGATTCCTGTGGTCCATGATAGTAAACACAGAAACATATAAGGAACATTGTTAGAGTTACCAGATGTTAGCTGTTGCATATGTGCACGTTCCTAGATTCAAGGGTGTTTCTGCCTTAAGTTTAAGTGGGTCATTGGTTGTCTTGGGAAGATCATGGAAAATTGGGGATTTTTTAGACCAAAATATGTTTTGAGTGTTTCTTAGATTAGTAAATGTGTGATCTTCCACCTTCCACATTCAGACTGCGGACTACACTTCATAAATGCCTTTTTATTTCCAACTGTTATGGATTCAACTAAATGACTGTATGCCTTGGGAGCACATAATTACTTTGCTACCTTTTTCCGCCTTTGCTGTTGTGGCTTGAGTTTGGTTCATACCTGATAAGATGTATTTAGCATATGCTGTTACCCAGCCCTGGCTTGATGGTGTCCTGTGGGGGCAGAGGTGGGAGGACGAGGGGCACAGGGCCAGAGCATGTGAATGAATCATGGTTGGACAGCTGTGACCTGCCAGCACTGCGGGTAAGCCAAACTACAAACCGTTCTTTCCTCTGTGAAATTGAATAAACCTTAATAAAATTCATAATTAGCACATACTAGAAAAAATGTGACGTATCTTTTTGTGGGGTGACAGTATTGGGTTTCATTCTGGCTATACAGCTTTGATTGGATCATTAGGAAGGTCAGTCACTTCCCTCAAGCTTTGGGGTGTGGAATAAACACGAGTGAATTTGTGGATTCACCCGTCAACCTCCCAATATCAACACATTTCTCATGCCTCCGCGCCGGCCACGTGTCAGCCCTCAGAAGTGGGCAGGAGGAACTTTTAAGCGTCTCGGCAGTTCCCAAGAGGGCCTTTGAGCCTGGCGCCCTCTTCCTGGAGAGGCGTTGGGGCAGCTCCTAGCAACGTGCCCACCGCCGGCAGAGGCCCGGCCCCGCCAACGGCCGCGCGCGGCTCCCTGGGAGCTGTAGTTCCTCACGTCGTCCCCGTCTCCTCTGTGCGGGCAGGTGAGCAGACCGCCGACTACGACTCCCAGGATGCCTCGCGCCCGCCTTTCCGCGGGAGGCCGGAAGGCTGAGGGTGGCAGCAGCGGCTGGAAGCGGGAGGCCTGGCCGGGCTGGGCGACCTGAACGGAGCCGGGGCCGATGCTGGTCCCAGCGGCCGCACCTCCGGGGACACGGCGCGTAACGGGAAGCTTCAGGGGCTGGGAGCATTACAGGCTGCTCTCGGGGGCCATATAGGCCGGGCGCTCAGAAGGGTGACGCATTGAGGGGCGCGGAGTCTCGGGACGGAGGGGCTACTCCGGTTAGGGGTCTTGTTTAGGGGTGGTCTCGGGATCTGTAAAACGCCTGGCATGGAGTCGGCTGAATAGATGTAGGAATGGCCTTGGCATACCACGCCTAGAAAATTCCCATAGTTTGAATCCCGTACAGGATCGATAGGAGATGCCAGAAGTTCCATGATGTGTTATGGGACACATTTGGACTTGTAGGTCGTGATGTCGCCATTGCAGAGAAAAAGAAACACAAAGCCGGGCACGGTGACTCATGCCTGTAATCCCAACACTTCGGGAGGCCAAGGCGGGAGGATCACTCGAGGCCAGGTGTTTGGGACGACCCTGGGCAACGTAGGGAGACCCGTCTCCACAAAAAAGTTTTAAAATTTGCCGGACATGGTGGCGTGTGCCTGTGGTCCCAGCTTCTAGGGAGGCTGAGATTGGAGGATCGCCTGAGCCCAAGGAGGTCGAGGCTGCAGTGATCTGTGAGAGCTGTGATCGCGCCACTGCACTCCAGCCTGGGCAACAGAGTGAGACCGTGTCTGGAAAAAAGAAAGAAAGAAAGAAGGCCAGGCGCGGTGGCTCACACCTGTAATCCTAGCACTTTGGGAGGCTGAGGCAGGCAGATCACGAGGTCAGGAGTTCAAGACCAGCCTGGCCAACAGTGAAACCCCGTCTCTACTAAAAATACAAAAATTAACTGGGCATGGTGGTGCACGCCTGTATTCTCAGCTACTCGGGAGGCTGAGGCAGGAGATTCGCTTGAACCCGGGAGGCTGAGGTTGCGGTGAGCCAAGATTGCACCACTGCACTACAGCCTAGGCAACAGAAGCAAGACTCCATCTAAAAAAAAAGAAAACACATGTATTCAATTATTCAAGGTGGACTCTGTAGGTAAGCCCAGATAACCCTTGCATTCCAATAACAGGACAGGCCAACACCTGGGACAGAGAGAGGACCCCTCTGACTCCTTTCTTCCAGGACATCCTGTAGGTGGGTTTTGGTAAAGTGGAGGAGAGGGAGGGAGAGAGCTAATTCCGAAGAAAACTGTTCTCAATGGGTCAGATTTACTGCCTATGTAAAGGGAAATATTTCCACCGTCTGTGAAAATCGTATTGCTGGATGTGGTGGCTCATACCTGTAATCCCAGCACTTTGGAAGACCAGCGCAGGAGGATTGTTTGAGCCCCAGAGTTCAATAGCAACCTGGGTAACACAGTGAGACCCCGTCTCTAAAGAAAGATTTTACAAAGAAAAAGAATATCAAAGAGTAACCAGAGCTCACACCTGCTTTTGTGCTACATGCTGCCTAGAAAGTAGTCATGGGTGCTGCCTGGGAAAGGGTTTCAGACTTAGTGCCAGGTACCTACCTCCTTTCTGAAATGAGTACTTGCCACTTGCCACATCAGCTTTCAGGGTAAGGGATCATGGCCACTGCCCTTTTTTCAAGTAATCTCAAAGCTTTAGAAAGCCCGTTAAGTTATCCAGAGCACTTTTTTTTTTTTTTTTTTTTTTTTTGAGACAGAGTCTCACATGTTGCCCAGGCTGGAGTGCAGTGGGGCGATCTTGGCTCACTGCAACCTTCTCCTTCTGGGTTCAAGCGAGTCTCCTGCCTCAGCCTCCTGAGTAGCTGAGATTACAGGCATGTGCCACCACGCCCAGCTAATTTTTGTATTTTTAGTAGAGACAACATTTCACCATGTTGGTCAGGCTGGTCTTGAACTCCTGACCTCAAGTGATCTGCCCACCTCAGCTTCCCAAAGTGCTGGGATAACAGGTGTAAGCCACCGCGCCCAGCCTGAGAGTACTTTGCTCCTCTTCTGAAGTGCATCCCCTATAAGGAATTTTTAATTTATGGAAATGGGTTTTACCTCTTGAATGGGCAAAGTGAGAGAAGCTTTGATAAACCTTGGATTCATGCTCTGTTAAACCATCTTTTTTTTTTTTTTTGAGATGGAGTCTTGCTCTGTTGCCTAGGCTAGAATGCATAGCATGATCTCAGCTCACTGCAACTTCCATCTAGCGGGTTCAAGTGATTCTTCTGCCTCAGCCTGCCAAGTAGCTGGGTGCCCACCACCACACCCAGCTAATTTTTTGTATTTTTTGGTAGAGATGGGGTTTTACCATGTTGGCCAAGCTGGTCACAAACTCCTGACCTCAGGTGATCCACCTGCCTCAGCCTCCCAAAGAGTTCTGGGATTACAGGTGTGAGCCACTGCGCCCTGTCTCTCTTTCTCTCTCTCTTTTTTTTTTTTTTTTTTTTTTTGAGACAGAGTCTCACTCTGTCTCCTAGGTTGGCACAGTCTCAGCTCACTGCAGCCTCCACATCCCAAGTTCAAACGAGTCTAGTGCCTCAGCCTCCTGAGTAGCTGGGATTACAGATGTGCACTACCACGCCCAGCTAATTTTTGTGTTTTTAGTAGAGACAGGGTTTCACCATGTTGGCCAGGCTGGTCTTGAACTCCTGACCTCAGGTGATCTACCCACCTCGGCCTCTGAAAGCGTTGGGATTACAGGTGTGAGCCATGGCGCCCAGCCAAAGCTACATCATTTTTAAGCAACCACTTTAATTTTCTTCATTAGGGAGTATGAGCCTGATGTAGGCAGAATCCAGATGAGCTGGCCAGTGCTGTGAAGGAGCTGCAAGCGCCCCCAAGAGCCGTGAGATGGTAGGCAGAGTTCAGAGTAAGATGCATGGAAAGCAAACATGCCTCCCATCCTGCACCCCCAAAGATCTTGACTGCATGCAACACTCTGGGGGCTGGGCAGCAAGGACCAGGATGGAGACCCTGGAGAAGAGTGACAGGAGGTGGCATTGATACCAAACTTTCGATGACCAAGGTTTCTTCTGAGCCTCTGAGTGTCCGGCTGGAAGCGTTTTTAAGTGTCTGTCACTGGTATTGAATCAGGGGCACGGAACAGAAGACATTTCCGGTGACAGACATCTCAACTGGGAGGGTTTGCATGTCGTGTCTGGGATAGGAATGACTTCTGCCCACCCATTGGTACCCATCACTGGTTAGTGGGGCTGTGTCCACGCTCCAATGAGTCAGTTCTCAGAAAATACAGGAACGCATAAAGGACTTAACATCTCTAAATGCCATTGGTGCTCCTGCCTCTGGTGACTTGGCAAAAGGCAATGCAATTCATTCTGCATTGCCAGTTTCCACCTGTGTTCACTGTTTGGTATTCTTGATGTGATTTGTTTTTCCCATTTTAGGCGCCAAAAACCAAGAAGGGATGGAAAGGTGAGTGGAGAGATGGAACATTACCCTTAAGCCAAATATATATATCTTTTTCCCCTTTGGTCCTAGAACAATGAAATGTGTGTTTATTTAAATGTTTTTGGGCCAGGCATGGTGGCTTATGCCTGTAATCCCAGCACTTTGGGAGGCTGAGGCGGGTGGATCATGAGGTCAGTAGATCGAGACCATCCTGGCTAACACGGTGAAACCCCGTCTCTACTAAAAATACAAAAAATTAGCTGGGCATGGTGGCAGGCACCTGTAGTCCCAGCTGCTTGGGAGGCTGAGACAGGAGAATGGTGTGAACCCGGGAGGCGGAGCTTGCAGTGAGCCAAGATCGCACCACTGCACTCTGGCCTGGGCAACAGAGCGAGACTCCGTCTCAGAAAAAAAAAAAGTGTTTTTGATGAGAGTCTTACTATTCTTCCCATTTTTCCATAGGCAGCCTTGGTCTTCCTTATGCTGCCTCACTGGTCCTCAGAGAAGTTCAGACATAAATAAGATATGGGGTTGTGGAAAAAATCCTTCTCCTTGGGCTCTGTATCCAGAAATATGTGGTTGGGATTCAGGGTGGGAAAACTGGGGAGGGAAACAAATTTGGTATTCATACTTAGGTTCCCCCACATGCCTCCATCAGAAAGTGGCCATTGATGAGGACGTCCAGACCAGTTCTGGGGGATCTTAGATGGAAGGGTACAAGGAACCTACTTGTCTGAAAGTAGCTTTCATGTGCCTAGAAATCTTGAGTACTCTTCCCAAAGAGCCGCAATGGGCTGTGTTCAAGATCTGGAAGACTGATCTTTGGCCAGTGTGTCTTGGTAGACAGGTAGAATATAGGTTCTCCTGAAAATCTGCACCATCATTCTTTGAGATAGTTTTTTCTTTTTTTTTTCAATTAGAGTCTCGTTCTGTTGCCCGGGCTAGAGTGCAATGGCACGATCTCAGATCACTGCAACCTCTGCCTCCCAGGTTCAAGCGATTCTCCTGCCTCAGCCTCCCCAGTAACTGGGATTACAGGCATGCGCCACCATGCCTGACTAATTTTGTTTGTTTTTGAGATGGCATCTTGCTCTGTCACCCAGGCT